TATATATATATATATATATATATATATATATATATATATCCACAAAATAACTCCAAAACAAAATTATCAACTTTTTATACCGAGGTTGTATATATATGAATATATATTATGTTGGTTGCATGAGCCATATATATATATATTTATATATTTAGAGTAAATCGTATATAATTATCCAAATTTTTACAAAAATCTCAAATAAATATCTAAATTGTAAAATTTTTATATAAATATCTGAACTTTTTTAAAATTCTATAGGGATACCTATACTTTTGAAAATATTCCAAATAAACCCAAAATACATTAACGATATTGTTTTTATTTGAAAAATCTATAAACTTTAGATTTATTTAAAATTGTTTAAAAATCTATATATTTATATATGATTTCTAAAAAGTTCAAGTATTTATATAAAGTTCGATTCAAATATTTATCTAAAATTTTTGTAAAAATTTAGATATCTATATATTATTTATTTATTTATTTATTTATTATTATTATTATTATTATTATTATTATTATTATTATGTGGGGTAAATAAATTTCATTGGCAGCAGCTAGTTGGAGGAAATAGAGAGGTGATTGACAAAAACAAGACACTGTTTGGGTTTCAGATTTCCCATAACAAAACCGAACAAAAGCCAAGTGAGTTGCATAAAGAGAATATTATTACTCATTGAAAATAGAAAGGAAGACTTGTCAGCCTCAGATGATTTTCTCTTTCACCTTTTATTTCTTCAATTATTATTATTATTATTATTTTTTATATTTCTTTTCAAATATACTATAATATATATTCATCAAACAACAAACACACATATATATATATATATATATATGAATGTATATATTTCCACGCCAAACAGTGTCTTAAATGGGAAACCCTGATTGGACATTTGATCCGACACTACTTTGAACTCCACACAACTGTTTGATGAGTATATATATATATATATATGCTTTTTGAGTTCTATATCTCATGTCTTAAACCCTAATCCAAACCCCAAGTACCCTTTTGGTTTCTTCCCCCATCCCAATATCATTTTTTTTTCTAAAGTTATTTTAAAACTTGGATTTGATTATCATATTAACAACTGATGGTACCGATTTTGTTATATATATATGGTTGTTGGAATATTTAGATTTTATTATAAAGATCGTTTGATAATCCTTTTGACTTTTTTCGAGAGTTGCAGATTTTTGAGAAGAAGTGAGCAAGATCCATACAAAAACATTGATCAAATAGATTTTTTTTTTGGTAAATTAATCAAATAGATTTGGTAAATGAAATGAAAAAAAGTTACACCAACAACACACATACATATATATATATAGTATATATATATGTATATACTATATATATATGGATCATAGATTCAATAGCAATGGAAGATCCTAAAATAAGTAAAGATCGGCATTCTTAATGAATCAAATTATTAAAGACTTGTTTTTAGTAACATGATGTCTTGAACCGAGGTTCACACTAGTTTCGGGAACGAAAACAAATCATGTGATTAGAATATGCACTTTTCTCTCCAACTCGAAGCTCGAAGTCGGGATGAAATAGACGTTTTACATCTTTATTTCACCCCCGGTTGATAGTTCAACCGGTGAAATACGGACGTAAAACGTTTATCAGAAAAATATTTAAACTAACCATTTCTAAAAGATAATTTTTGTATGTATGTTGTCTTTGCTATAATTGTGTGTTTGAATTTCTTTTCATAATCTTGTTGTAATTCTCAATATGATCATATTCAAATATTCTATTATTATCATCTATTATTTTTTGTTTGATATTCTATATAAATATGATCATATTCAATCATAATGTTGAAGGATGTGACTCTTTTTCCATAAAAATAACCACGGTCTTGGTAATTAAAATGCATATGACCTCTTAGATTGTCATTATTTATTTTATTAGTTTTTCCATATAATTTTTTGTTTGTTAACCATTATGGTTCCCGTAACTTCGTCCCAACTACATCCATCCTAAATCCGGGAGCAGTCTTTAAAATATATACGATCGGGGCTTAGAGAGCAACATCCTCTCAACATATAAATACTCCCTCTCTCCCCCATTGATCAGCTGCTTTCGAACTTGCGATCAGGGTCTAAAGAGCAACACCTTTTCGCCACTCAGCCATCCAGTTATGGGTTTTTCATATAAATTATTTATTAATTAATTTTTCATTTCACTAATTATTTATTTATGTAATCGATCCCATTGAAAGGAAATGGAAAAGGAAAAGCTGCATAATCAGAAGCTTGACGAATATATATATCTGTCACATTGTTGTACGTAAAATTATCATGATGATGATTCAGCTGTTTTTTGACTAATCACTGCGTATAGATCATAAACTTTCTCTATCGCATGGATTATAATTTGACTTATGGTAATCATTTTAGTTTATTTGATAAACCCAATACTATATATATATATATATGTGTATATATATAATAACGTGTATATATAATTGTTGGTTTAAGTCATCAAGTGTATAATTCTTACTATTCTATAACATTCCATCGTTTTTGGACGGATCTATTCCGCCGATGATGTTACGTGTTATTCGTTACATGCATGGCATACATACATACATACATGCAATGTCATGAGATTTGGTCAACCTCATTCATAGGACCACTTAGCACTATTCATGAACAATCAAGGCGCAGTGTGATCATAATAATACGTGTTGCAAGAATCCATGAAACCTCTGCATCTATAATTAGCCTGTATATATATATGTGTATATATAGGAGTTAAGATGATGTGTATGTATATATATGCGTGTGGGTGTATGTATATACATGTATGAAGAAGATCAGGGTGCAAAATTTGGGAGCAGACTGGAACGTGTCCATCCTTCCTCGGCATTGATAAGAAAACTCTGAAGTGTAAGAACCATCACATCCACTGCCACTTTCTCACAAGAATCCAAACCAGACCACGTTTCCAAATATATAAAAATACACAAAAAAAGAGAAATCATACATATATATATATATATACATATATATGTGTGTATATATACACAAACAAATTATGATATATGTGCGTGTGTGTATATATATATAATAAAAAAATATCTCAAAATTGTAGTACAATCTCCTTATCTACATTCAATCAAGAACCCTATAAGCATTTTCTTTTTTAATGGTGAAATCCGTCTCACACCAGTTTGGATCGAATATCGTCTGGCCATGCATAAAATAACCGACAAATCATGCAGAACAGATAAACCAATCGAATTTGAACGGTTTAAGAAAAAAATTCAGACCTTAAAATAAACATATTTATTATATGCAAACAAAACAAGATTCTACTAGTATTGAACAAGATCATATCATATATTACTAGCAAGATTTATATATATATATATATATATATATATATTTGCAGCCTATATATATTGTTATATCTTTTATATATGCATAGTCAATTTGCCTGTATTCTTAATGCATTTCTGATGATTATATAATATATATATATATACTTATATTTTTAAAATAAAGAACAGCTAAATTTTACCTTTTTGTCCAAACAAGAAGTGGATGCAGCTTATATAAAGCAAGTTTTCTCACTTGAAATCCAAAGAACAAATCAAAAGGCGCAGACCATTTGCAAAGAAAAAGGAAAGGAACAGACAACCACTTTGTCTCCCTCTTTGTTCCTGTTTTTTTTTTTTTTTTTTACTTCCAAAAGCCAATGTCTTTCTACTTCTCTTTGAAAGGAAACAAAACCCTTTCCCAGATCTGATCCTCTTGCCCCTTTCCAATAATGGTTTTGCATATCTTTCATCAAACAATCACTCCAAAACCCTAAAACCCTTTTCCATTTTCCTCTCAAGAACGATATCATTGCAGAAAACCCAACACAATCTTTCAGAATCAAGGCGAAAGTAGGAACACCCAACACAAGAAACCCTACAAGAAACCCTAAAAACAATCGAAAGTTCCCATCTTTTTTGTTTTTTATGCCAGGCCCTCCAAAATTCCCATCTTCTCGCCCTATCTTTCACGTTCAAGCAAAGAGTAAGCAAGCCCATCAAATCATTGTCGAGCGAAACCAAGTTCTAACCCCCTTTCCTGTTAGCTTCTGCCTTTGGAAGGAAGAAAGGGACAAACTTTTTCACAAGAAACCCTAAAACCATTTGAAAGTTCCCAGCTTTTTCACCGAATCTTTCGTACCCAAGAGAAAAACAAGGAAACCCTAGTAATCTTTATACATGGATGTGTTCAGCAACCCATCACTGGCATTGCCTTTCTCTTACACCTTCACGAGCAGCAGCAGCAGCACGACAACGAGCAGTGACTCGTCTTCTGGTCCGTGGATGGACAGTCGGATATGGAGCAAACTCCCACCGCAGCTGCTCGAACGCGTCATCGCGTTTCTCCCGCCGCCGGCGTTTTTCCGATCGCGTTGCGTTTGCAAGAGATGGTACGGCCTCCTCTTCTCAAACTCCTTCCTCGAGATCTACCTGCAAGTGTTGCTATCTTCCTCTCGCCGCTGCAACTGGTTCCTCTTCTTCAAGCGCAAAACCCTAAAGAGCTACATCTACAAGACGGGCAACAGCAGAGGAAATCAAGTTGATGATCCAAGAAACGGGAATTCAGCTGAAGGCTATCTCTTTGATCCTTACGAGCTCCAATGGTACCGCCTCTCGTTTCCGTACATTCCGACAGGGTTTTACCCTTTTGGTTCATCCGGAGGGTTAGTGTGTTGGGTCTCGGAAGAAGCCGGTCTGAAAACACTTCTCTTAAGCAACCCTCTTGTCGGATCAGTGAGCCAACTGCCGCCAACTTCACGGCCGAGGCTCTTCCCCTCGATCGGTCTCTCCATTAGTCCAACCTCTATAGATGTTTCAGTCGCCGGAGACGATCTCATATCTCCGTACGCCGTCAAGAACCTCTCGTCGGAGAGTTTCCACGTGGACGCAGGCGGGTTTTTCTCGATTTGGGCGATTACTTCTTCTCTTCCTCGTCTTTGCAGCTTGGAATCGGGCAAAATGGTTTACGTGCAAGGCAAGTTTTACTGCATGAACTACGGCCCTTACAGTGTTTTGTCGTATGATGTTGCCGGAAACCGGTGGTTCAAGATTCAGGCGCCGATGAGGAGATTTATCCGGTCACCGAGCTTGATGGAGAGCAAAGGTAGGCTTATTCTTGTCGCAGCAGTGGAGAAGAGCAAACTGAACGTACCCAAAAGCTTGAGGCTATGGAGTCTGCAACGAGACGATGCCACGTGGATAGAGATAGAGCGCATGCCTCAGCAGCTTTACGTACAGTTTGCGGCGGAGGAAGCCGGAAAAGGGTTTGAATGTGTCGGAAACGGAGAGTTCATGATGATTGTGCTGAGAGGGACTTCGTCCCAGTTGATGTTCGACATGGCGAGGAAGGGGTGGCAGTGGATCCTGCCGTGTCCGTACGGCGGCAGCGGCGGCGGAGGAGAGGTGTTGCAGGGTTTTGCTTATGAACCGGCGATCGCTACGCCGGTGGCTAGTCTTCTTGATCAGTTGGCTCTCCCCTTCTAAGTCGTTCGTTTGTTAGTTTTAGATTAGAACTGCGTGTCGTTTTTGTATGTAGTAGCCGACAAGATTTCTTGTAGCTGTTGTCTTTTCTTTTTAATGTGTTAACTTTGCTATTGTCTTTCATGTAAGTTTACAAATCTGTGTAATGAAGGTTTAGTACTTAGACTTCTACTTTTAGTATTTTTAGTAAAATTAAAAATAAAAAACTGCAGAAGTTGAAGAATTTGATGATTAGATTTATCAAAGGAACAAACTTTTTTTAGTTTCCTTTATTACAATACACATTGTCATAAATCTCACAATTGCATGAACTTTTATCCAACACTACAAGCTTCAGACACACAATAATAATAATAATTAATAATCAGAAGCCATTTATTTGGTCAATTTAATATTTTATCCAGAAGAAACATATTAATGATCAGAAGGAAAAAAAAGGAAAGTTTCTTCAAACAAGAACATAAAGTTTCCTAATGCCAATGAACTCACAATGTTTTTTTTCTCTACTTCTCTCTTGTTATATCTGTGACAATGGAAACTAAACCTAGATTTAAGGATACAACACAGAGAATTTAAGAAAAAAGGGGGGAATTTGACAAGAGCAGACCTCTCTGGCTTCAGAGAAATCTGAAAGAATGGGACTTTGAAGAGAGAGACCCTGACAAAATGTCCCTTCTTCAATGCTTTTAAGATGGTTCTGAGAGGTTCCTTTTCCTTTAGAGCCGAGAGTGACTAAAACGCCATCCGACCAGCGAGCCTGCCCTCTGAGATCCGTTTGTCAATGGCCGCATCGATCGAGTTCATCTGAAAACAAGGGATAATCACGTGATTTATCGAGGGGGAAAAGCTCGAAGCTTTTGTCAAAAAGATGGGGTTGCTGTAAGACCATGGTCATCTGCAAATTGAGAATACACAGAGGAGCTGACCTGGGTTTTGAAACAAAATCCATGGAGTATGATCTTGTTGAACCAATCACCAGATTTTTTTTTATGATACAACAGAAGTAAGAAATATAATCGAAATGGGCATATGCATACGGTTTTTTTTTCCTTCACTGTTTATGGCTCTAAATGCAAACTTTCCCGACATCTTAATGTACTTGTACATGCCCACATCTCGGGATCGCATTAAAAAGCAATCCCGAGACATCAAATTTAACACAAATGCAGCATGCTCATGGACAATGGCATTAGCAGCAAAGGAAGAAATGCTTCTCGTTCTTGCCTACGTCTTATTAATCTACTGAAAGGAAGAAAATAACTCGGAATTTGTGGAGGTACCTCTTAGCAGGTAACAATTCACAGAACTTAAACAATAGGAGTCTGAAAATAGAAAGCATGAATAGAGCCTACCGAGTTCGTTAGACGTGTAAAGCAACTTTCCATAACTTTTAAAGGGGCAGATGTAACTTACCTGGCTGGTTTCATCATGCACCTGGTATTTCAGTAAGGACATTCTTCTTTCCTCCTACAAATATGAAGATTTCAAGTCAGAATAACACATAGATTACCCTGTGTGTCCAATAATATAACACTGTCTCTACATGCATAGGAAACTGACCATAGACATCGCTTCATCATCCCATACAAGATAGACCTCATTAGTCTGAGAGCCAGGAGGTTTGTTTGCGATTACAGGAGGTGGTCCAATTGAGGGGCCACTGGTGTTTGGACCGGAGGCATATGAATGCGAATTCGGTACCGGTATACCTGCAACACAGAGAACATAAATAGAAGTTATATTTTGACTCCACTCAGTAACTCTGATATATGGAGATAACATTATTCAACAATTCCTATATCTTATAATTGAGAAAAGGTGGTCAATCAGATCAAACCTGGAGTAGTTGGAGCATTATAGACACCTGAGCTAATAGAACCAGCACCTGGATGAGCATCCAATGATCCTTTGGATTCTGGGGCAGGAACTGGCTGAACACCGACGGGCAAAGGAGTTGAAAATGGTGAAGTGTGAGAAGGTAAGCTGTTACTCACAACAGGGAACAGCGGCTGTGAACCAGGCATTGCAGGTGATGATGAAGGAATCCCGGGAGGAGGGGCTGTCAAAGGTACTGAGGGTGATGATGTTGGCATAGGCGGTCTCATACCTTGCACCGGGAACAGTGGTTGTGGTGGATACCCCATTGGGGTGGTTGGCGGCATAGAAAATGCTTGATTATGTGGATACCATGGTTGTGGACGAGGAGGAGTAGGCCATCCAGAAGGAGGCATAGGTACAGGAGCACCATAACTGTAAATGAAACAAAAAGAGATAATTACCTTACCTAGGTCAGTGGTTGATTCAAACAGTCTAATATGGTGAGCAAGAAATATGCAGACCACTTATGATCACAGGTTTTCATCCTCAAGCTTAATTGCAATCATAATTCCATACAATGTCCATTTATTGTCTTGGAGAGAATGAAACACAAAGCAGTATATTTTCTAGAAAATTTAGTGTGTGAGTTTTTTTTGAAAATTGAAACCAGTAATTGCAAGCAACAATAAGAAATTGAGGCTTATGGCCTTTTCTTCATAACCATACAAGAGAACCCAAAAGGAAAGACAGGATCTGGATCTCCCAAATGTCAAATCGATATCCTATATAAAAAAGAACAAAGGTAAAAAGCATAATCTGCAAATAAGGACTTACATTGGTCGCACAGCTCCAGGAACAGGCCGAGGAGGATATACCACACCATATGGTCTAGGAACAGCACCAGCAAGAGGGGTGGAAGGAATATCGACTTTGGGAACTTTAGCAGGAGCCTCTTCCTCTGCAGGAGACAAAATTCAGTTAAAAAGGTTCCACGTGCATTTGGCAATACTAGTTTGTAAAATAAAGAACAAACAAGATACAAGAGTGTGGTACATTCACGTCTCTGAGTCATAGACAGATCCTTTTTCCATGCGGATAACAATGAAAGAAAATTCGCTTTAATACACAAACCAGAGTGTTAGCTTCATACCTTCTTCTCCATAGTGAGCAGCCAAGACATCAGCAGGAATACCTTGCATTCCATAGATTTCGATATCGGTTGAATCTCTACCAGGTTTAGCATTAGGAACCCTGGCATAAAAATGCAAAATACCAAATTAGTTGCATTACAGAACTTAATAAGCAAAAGATCATGAAAATAACAACAGCTAGTGTTATCACATGTCTTTTTTGCATCTCTATTAAACCCAAAGAACAAAACTCTATGAACCCCGGACACCGCCTACCTCGAAACTGAAGGGGTTTTCCAAAAGGGATCCAAAATTTTTATCCCAAATCTTAGCCGATGCTAAAAACTAAATCATAGAGTAGTAAAAGCAAACAATTCAAATATCAACTTCCACAGAAAACAATAGAAAGCATTCATCATTCATCCCAACAGTAGAAGCCACTCATATGAGATTTAAAGCAGCAAACCCTGAAAATTTTCCCAATAAACCCTAACGAGCAAAACATCAATTTCTCCACAACAATTCACCAAGCCCTATAAAGGAAAAAGGCACCATAATCTACTTTGAGCCAAATCAAATGGGTTCCTGAGAAAGTTATACAGATTTTAACGACAATATCCCCAAATTCGCTGACAATAACTTAATCAACCCATGAAAAACCAGTAGAATACGTTCCACTAGAAATTGAATGCTGATAAACAGAACCAACCAAGCAAAATTGAAACTTCCGCACCAATCCAGAGAGCAAAATCGCTGGATATGAATTCAAAGCAACCCTATCAAACAGGGAACCGGACCAGAGACAGAAGAAGATACGTACTTTGTAACATTCTCCTTGTGAACCTGAAGGACATGGATCACCATTCCTCCAGCAGTGGAGAGCTTCTTATGGCAGACATGGCACTTGAAGTGCTTTGCCTTCTGGTGTTGTACCAGAATCTTCTCGTCGTCGAACTCTCTGTCGCAGTAGTAACACCAGACCTTCTCCGTCACCCTCTTCTTCTTCTTTCCCATCACTACCCTTTATCGCTCGCTGTATCCCCTTCCACTCACCAGATCTCTCTTGTCCTCTCCCCAAATCTACCTCTCCCTCTCTCCGTCGTCGTCTTCTCCTTCTTCGCTCGCTAGGGTTTCTTCTGCGATCTCTTTGATATTTTTTCCGTTTTTATTTTCTAGCTCGACCTTTGCCTTATATTTATTGAATAGGGCATTTCTTTTGTTAAGACGGCGTAAAGACCCCAAACTTTTCTAATAGTTTCAATTCGACCCCTCTAAGTTTTCTTATTATTAATAAAAGCATATAAGTTTTAGCGATTTCAATCAAGTCCTCTCCTCGTGTCACTCCCACCTGTTTACAATAACATTTACCTTCGCCGTCTCCAAATTTTCCCTCCGCCGCCGTCGCTATCAAATCTCGCCGTTCACTTCCGGTGACGGTGAGTCTCCTCTCTCTTCTTCTTCTTCTTCCGTCTCCTTCTTCCTCCTCTTCTCTGCCACGCCTGTTATTGGGCCTGTCGAATCAAATCTCCAGCATCGCAGATCCTCCGTTTTCCGGCTTCGATCTCGCCGGAATCCAGCAAAAACAGCGATAATATCTGTGATTCCGACCAGAATTTCTCCGGTTCTGGTCGGTTTTACGTCGTTTCCGGGACGAAATCTGATTTTCCCCTATAGGCTCATATTCCCTTTGTTTCGTTGTTTCAATCGTGGGATATGGGTTTTCTTAATGCAACACTCAATGTTCGGAAAGAGAATTCGCATTCTGAGTCTAGATTCTTGTGAGACGAGCTCGTGGGGATCTGATATGTTTAGCTGTGTCGATGTTTCGCAGGACGAAGAAACTTTATCCGCCATTACCAGGAAAAAGGAAGAAACTTTCTGTCTGCAACTCGGACTCTGCAGTATAATCTCAGGTTTTGATCAAGAACCAGAAGAATGGTAATGGATGCAAGCTTGCATGCGAATTCATCTCCAAAGCCCAAATGGAGGAAAGTAGCCTATGGAGGGATGCAACCAGGGTACGATGACAATTACACCGATGAATCATTCCTCGAGGACATGGTGATGAATGCCAACGTCGTGAGGAGGAACTTGCTGAAGGTGATGAAAGACTCTGTCTCAATTTCTCAGTACCTCTGCATTGTTGCACTTGTGGTCTTGGTTTGGGTTCACACCCTTAGATCAACCCTAGACGAGAATTCTCTCTTAGCTCTTGATCTTACCCTACTAGCATCTGGCTTCTTGATTCTACTCTTAACCGAAGAAAAGATGCTGTCCCTGAATCTCCTCTTTAGGTACATCCTCAACATCTCGTTCTTCATCACCGGTCTATACATCTTAGCTCCGATATACCAAACTCTGACCCGATCTATAAGCTCGGACTCTATATGGGCAGTCACTGTTTCCCTCCTCGTACTCCACCTCTTCCTTCACGACTACTCCGGGTCAACAGTTAGAGCGCCCGGTGCCCTGAAAAACCCGAACTTGACGAGCTGCATTTCACTGAATGCTTCCATCGTAGCTTCGGTCTTTGCTTCTTCTCGCCTCCCGTCTAGGCTCCATGTCTTTGCAGTGATGCTGTTCTCCTTGCAAGTCTTCCTCTTTGCCCCTCTTGTCACTTACTGTGTCAAGAAATTCTCCCTCGGCTTGCACCTTCTCTTCTCTTTTGCCCTAATGGGTGTGACCCTTTCCTCCATCTACGCCCTTCACCGGCTACTCTTTGTTCTGTTTCTTGTTGTTTTGGTTATTGTTAACGTTGTCTGCCCTTATTGGCTTATTAGGATTCAAGAGTATAAGTTTGAGATCAATGGTCCTTGGGATGAAGCTAAGCTTTGTTTTGACATCAGAGACTGAAAAAGTTTCAAGCTTTCTTTTTTTTTGAGTTGTATATATACATGTATGTATGTATGTATGTATGTATTTATACATATGTCATTTACTTTCATTTATATACACTTTGGAAAGAAGTAGAATTTGATCATAACTCGTTCAAAACTGAAACATAGTTGCAGAGCAAAACCTAGATTGCTCGGTTTTATACAGCGTTGATACAAAATACTTAAGTAGAAATACAGCTTCTTCTTCTTCTTCTTCTTCTTCTTTAGTAAATCTCTTCTTCGCTCTCGCTATCTTCAAACCCGAGGGCATGTTCATCGTCACTGTCACTGTCTTTATCGTATATGAACCCGACTAATAGTTGCCCACGAAACCGTTCTTGAATCCTCTCCCTTATCGCCGTTCCCTGATGTGTAATATTCACAGATTTGTGCTAAAATATTCCGACAGAAAACCATGATTTCAATGAACTTGTCCCCAAGTTAAGACTTTGTTACCACTTTGTGACAGCGTTCCTCGAACATTTCCAGGAACCCTGCGACTAACCGGTCTGCATTCTCGACCCATGTGTCACGCCTCATTGTTGCGGTTCTTGTCACTACTTGTATCTGCATGAACCATCTCATAGATCCATCAGTATACTGAGTTTTTCACCATAAATGTGCAAATCCATGTTCTAAGTTCTAACTCCCTTCAAGATTATCTTTTGACAATTCCCCTTTTGTGATCTCAAAGACAAGATTGAAGATCCGGTATCTTATCTTCATTATGCTCAAGGTTTATATCATTTCAGTATTGGAATATGCATCATACCTTTTCTTCCACTTTCTCCTGCTGTTTCTTAACTTTCTCGCGTAACTTCTTGAGCCCCATGTTTACTCTCAACCGTTTTTCCTGAAAGAAGATAAGGCCGGACGTTGAAAAAATATTATCGCCGCATAAATTTTTTTTGAAAAAGAGTCTCAAATGGAAGAACATGCCTTCACATAGCTAACACCAAGATCTTTTCTTGTATACCCACGATCCAGATTACGCATCACATACTGGTTATAGTCTTTGACTATCCTCATTATAATGTCCGATGTGGATATCCCGTCAGTCCGTTTCGTTTCCTTGAATTTTCCAACCGCTCTGACCTATACAAGCAGCGGATACAGATTTCAGACAGTATTTTGTTCGGTATGATAAACAGTTTACAAACACAGATTACTGATAAAACACGTGCCGGTCTTGTGCTCCTCTCATGTGTCTTTGTAACGTAGGTTTGGTCCTCGGACCGAATCAAGAGGAAAGCAAGAATGCAACTAGTGATACTTACGAATTCATAGACATCTTTCCCTGCCCCACTTGTATCGGCGTAGCTATAAGGTCAGGATGAGACAAAGGAGAGACCATTAACTTGCAGGATAAAATCCTGAGCTTGACAAGTTAATTAGTTCTCTGGGCGTAGTAAATGAGATCCAGTGATGAAGTATTTAAACAATCAAGCAAAGAATTCTCAAACAAAGAAAGAGCTAAACCAGATGTTAGAAGCCGGTCCAAAACTTACGGAAGAGAATCATGTGCGACATAATCTATCCGATGTTTGTCCAGGAACTCTTGTGTAACAACCCAAGGTGCATCGGGGATAACCTCATCGACCCACCTGTCAAAAGTTCTCAAAAAAAGAAGCAAAATAGACTTTACTATATACAAATTTCTAGATTTAATGTAAAGGAATCACATCTCGACTGGTGACCGAGGTTGAAGGATTATACAGAACGATCTGTGGACAATTCTAGTCTAAAATTCTAGATTCAAACTCAGAATTCGACCTCGGCAATAGAGGATCATGTGGAAGAAATGCCTTCATGAGATTATTGATCAATAATGACTCACATTCAGCATGTGACCACAAAACTCGACGACTAAATGCAGAATGCATCAAGGTATCATCACGGCCACATGCATGAGACAAGCAAGTATATGGAATTCTAGACAAAAAAACACGGATTCAAATTCAGAATTCGACCTGGACAATAGATGATCAGGTGGAAGAAATACCCTCATGAGATTCCTGATCGATGATTAATCATATTCCACTTGTGACCTCAGAACTGGATAACTACACGCAGAATGCATATAGATATCATGCCCACATGCGCGTGACAAGCAAGTATATGGAATTCTAGACTAAAATCACAGACACAAACTCAGAATTCGGCCTCGACAATAGAGGATCATGTGGAAATAATAAGGTCTAATAAAGTCTAAAGATGACCAATGACATTGTAAATGGTTAGAATAAGGTGGTTCCTCACGAGATTCTTGATCGATGATTACTCGTATTCGACTTGTGACCACAAAAAACTGGGTAGCTATATGCAAAATACATAAAGATATCACGCCCACATGCACGAGACGGGTCGGGACGAGAGCATAAACACGAAATTGAACCTGCAGTGGCGAAGAGACTCGTAACGCTCCTCATCTGTCATAACAGTTTTCCCCTTATACTTGTGAGTGACTTCATCATTGCAACAACCCACCAGCAAGTAGGTGTTTGGAAATCTGCACTTTTTCGGAAAGTTTTAGATTTTTTTTTATGGAAAGTTACAAATTTTAGATTTGCAGAAACCCAGAAAAGCATCACCAGAGACATCTGATCATTACAAATATTATCATTAGGGTTGCAAAATCTCATTGATAAAAGATTGTGATTTCCTACTCCACATTGATCTGAAGACAAGTTTCTGGAAAAAAAAATCAAATTTCCAGATACATGGCGAGTAAAGAGTCCCCCCAAATTTAAACTTCGATTCAAAGGGGAGAAAACCTAATTTCAAGCTCCGAATTGCATGGAAACCCCCATATCAAAACCTTGATTTTGAGAAAAAAAAAAATGGGAAAAATATGAACAGCAATGAAGAAAGACAGACAACAAGCGAAGAGAGACCCAGAGAAAGTTTCAGGAAAATCCAGACCGGCATGAGCTTTGTTCGTCGAGTAAGCGACCAAGTAGAACAAACAGATCATAAATTCAACCAAAATACATCATTCCGCCATGAAATTACAGCCACGAGTTCACTGTTCATCCATAACCAGCCATACAAACAGGAAATTTCGCAAGTCAAATCCCGAAGCTCCAAACACGACAACAACCAAATTCGACTCAGAATTTTACAGAGAAATTGACTATGAAAAAAACTCACAGTTTCTTGGCTTGCTCGAGAGAACGGGCATGGCCGAAGTGGAACAAATCGTAAATTCCATCGGCGTAGACACGAATCGGCCGTTCTGTCTCTCCAAGCTTCTCCTCCGCCATTTCTCTGTCTGAACAGAAAAAAAAATTGAAGGTTTTTGTGTGTGTGATCTTATTTTGACGTTAATGAGAACAGAGGGGGGCGAAAACAGAGACAACCCGACCCACTTTATTCGGTCGGGCCCGGTTTTCTATGGTTATCATCGGTTTTGTAACTTTGGTTTATTTAAGTTTTTTTTTTTAAATTATTAGGCAGTGACCTACGCATGTAAGTCACGGATCATGGATCGCCTCGTGAGTCGATCCATATTTTTCTGAGGTGAACTCAAAATATTTGAATCCAAAAAAAATCGGGCCAAACGAGTCAGTGCATCACGAGTCGGATTCGTGGTGGGTCAGCTCGTCACGAGCCGACTGGCTCGCAGGACAAAAAAAATTATTTTTTTTTAATTTTAATATTTTTATATATTTTTATATACAAATTATATTTTTTTATTACAGTTTGTTTTTGTTTAAAATTTTATTTTTTTATTATATTTTAAATATTTTTTAAATATGAAAATTAGTTTTAAATATTTTTAGTATTAAAATTTTATTTTTAAAAATTATATATTTGGCTCACAGACCGGTTCTTTTAGCTCGCGGGCTAAGACGATATGGGTTAGACTGATATATTTATGGCTCGCTAAAAAACGGATCGAACTGTACTGGGTTAAAATTTTTCAGATCGGAACGAGTCAGGTTGGGTTGGACCGGGTCGGTCCGTCCTAGGAGTGAGTTGACTCGTGAGAATCTTTTGTTCAAACAAAAACTACTACAAAAAAATAATAAAATTTTCAAGTTGTTTATAATATCGCAACCACCCAAGAAAAATACGTACACCAATAATTAAATTGTCAAAAAAGAAAACACGAACTTGCATACGTATGGAGTAGGGGAATTACATATTGACAAAATAAAATTCCAAAGTCATCCAACGAAACAAATATACATATATATATATATATATATATATATATAATTTACTAATAATCTATAATATACATATATATATATATATATATATATATATATATAGAGAGAAGAAT